GGTTCCGACGGCGACGCCTCCCCCCCCCTCCTGCGACGCCAACGTCGTCGACGGAGCCGTCTGCGACGCCTGGCCCGGCTTCGTCTGGGACGCCTGCGCCGACGACGGTGCCGACGGCGACGCCCTGTCCGTCTCCGACATGCTCAGTCTGCGTGTCGCAGGGGCCCGCCTCGGAGACGTCGGCTGCGGTGACTCGTGCGGCCAGCGCGCGTCGCCAGGGACGGCGCGGGCAGCGTGGCAGGTGTGGTTCTGCGACTGAGCGACGCCTACTCCGGCTCTCACTGCAACGCCAGAGCCGACGTCGGAGCCGACTGCGACGCTCGACCCGACCTTGACTGCGTCGCTGCGCCGACGACAGAGCCGACGGCGACGCCCTACCCGACCCCGACATGCCCCCCAGGCTGCGTGTCGTAGGGGCTCGTGTGCGGTGGCGTCGGCTGCGGTGGCTCGAGCGGCCAGTGTTTGGTGCCAGGTCCCCGGACGTCTGCGCCCCGAGGTTCCCCTGGCCTCCCGCCCCCGGGGGCTGGGCGAGGCCGCCGCTTCGGCTCGCTTTGCTGCATTATCTGTGCGTGGTTTCTTTGCTTGTGTGGGGCGAGGGAGCAACAACCAGGAAGGCTGAGGCCTGTGGAGTGGAGATCCAGGGCACCAGCGAAGCGACAGCACTGTCCTCCGCCAGTGGACTGGCGTGTTGTTCCCCCTCCGCGGTCGCTGAAGACCCTCCACAGGGAGCGGTGGAGGGATCGCAGAGGCGACCCCGACTTTGGACCGACATTCCCCCCCGGCGGTCAGTGACGACCCTCCACAGGGAGCGGTCGAGGCATTACAGAGGTGACTCCGACCGGTGTTGTTCCCCCCGCGGTCATTGAAGACCCTCCACAGGGAGCGGTGGAGGGATCACAGAGGTGACTCCGACCACACAGCATCGAAATGGCGCTGCCTCTTCCTTCTCCTCCTCCAATTCACCGGATTGCGCGGCTATCGGCTGCGTCTCCCCCCCTCCTCCTCCTTCTGTGCTGAGACGGCGCTGAGTGCCGCTCGAATTCCCCCCTACCCAACCAGATCCACTTGAGCACTTGGTCTGGACAGCCTGGGTCAGAGGCATTCTGTCCCCGCAGGCATGGGCTCCTCCAGCCCCTGGAACGGGCGCGGATCGCCCGCGTGGACTTGGTTTGGTTCGCGGCGCTCCAGGTGCTGGGCTACGGCCAGGTGCAGACCTGCACGCCACTCCGCTCCGGCACCACCCGAGGCCGGGCCTGGGGGTGAGCGTTGTCTTGGCAAGTGGTTCATCCTTTGGCAGGTCACCGCGGTTTCCCCCGGCAGGTCCGCCCCTGTTACCTGGGTTGACGCTCGCGGTTTTGTGCCCTCGTCCCCCGTGACGGATAAGTTGCCCGCGTTGTACGCCGACGACGTCGACGACTCGCTTCCCACGGCGGGCGTCGCCTTCGAGTACTTGCTATTGCACAAGTGGTGTATCCTTTGGCAGTTCATCTCGGCCCTCCCGCAGGGTGGTCCGGGGTACTCGACCAGGGCTTGCAGGTGTATCCCCCCGACTTTCAGAGTCAGGCAAGTTGCAGGTTGTGGACTCCGAAGACAGGGCCGCCGTTTCCTTGAATAGGACGGTCGCTCATGCCCTAGTGCATCCTATGAGTCCATGTGTGTGTGAGGCCTCCTTCTGCTCCCCCCCTCCCCGCGTGCCCTCGCTCCTGCCCCCGCTGCCTCTGTAGTTCGTGGCCCCCTCTTCGCGTTGGTCGGCGCGGCCGCGCCGGCCCCTCTGTGCCGCCGCTGCGCGGCGTGTTCCACGCCTGTGCGCGCCAGTCGGCGCGGACTGAGCTGGCGCCAATTGTGCGACTGCTCCCTCCGTCCGCTTTCTAGTTTGATGCCTGCGTTCCCTCTCGGGTCGCCTGCGTCGTAATGAGGGTCATTTTGTCCCTGGCACGTGCGCCCGCTGCCGAGGCCTACGGGCCCCAGCAGCTAATTTTCTCGCCATGCGCCCGTGTCGAGACCATCCCGCTCCCTGGAGTTGTCCTTGCGAGCCGCCGAACAAAAAAGTATCCCCACCAGGTCCGTAGCTTTTGGCTCAAGCCCTGGCTCAAGCCATCTCGGCCCAAGCCCGCCCCTTGCTCAGGTGCGCGCTCGGGCCTGGGCCATGTCTGCTTCCGCCGCGCCCCTCTCCGGCACCGCCCTGCGCCGCCGTCAGCGGCTGGCGGCGGTCCGGCGGGCCGCCCCACCGGGGCTTGGCGGCTTGCCGGGGCTTGCAGCCGCCGCTGCCGGCCCGCCGCCGCCGGGCGCGGCCAGCGCGTCCCCGACTGGCGCTGGGCCGCCGCCCCTGCGCGCCCCCGCCGCCGCCGCTGCCGGCCCCCTCCCCCGCGCCGGCGCCCTCCGGCGCCGCGTGCGCCGCCGCCGCGGCCGCCGTGGCGCGCCCTGCGGCGGCCGCCCTCGCCGCGGCCGCCGCCGCCGCGGCCGCCCTTCGGGGGTCGCCCGCGATGGCCGCCGCGGCTGGCGTCGCGGCCGCCGCGTCCCTCGCCGCTCCCGACGAGGGCCTCTCCTCGGCCGCCGCCGCCGCTGCCGCCGCCGCCGTCTCCGCCGCCAATGCCGCCGCTGCCGCTGATTAATTGATTGATTGATTGATTGATTGATTGATTGATTGATTGATTGATTGATTGATTGATTGATTGATTGATTGATATATGGATTTATTGATTGATGATGACGATGGTGATGATGATGCGGATAACGATGATGATGGCCTTGCTGACGATGATGCTGCTGATGATGATGATGGTCTGATGGTGGTGATGATGCTGATGATGATGCTGTTGGTGATGATGCGAATGAGGATAATGATGCTGATGCGGATGCTGATGCTGACGCCGCTGCTGCGGATGATGATATATCTGTTTTATGTTATTGATGACGGTGATGATGATGCTGATGATGCTGACGATGATGACGATGCGGGTGATGATTATGCGGATGATGATCATGATAATGGTGATGGTGATGCTACTGCTGCTGATGATGACAATGCTGATAATGATGATGATGCTGCTGATGATGGGGATGATGATTACGGCGATGCTGCTGCTGCCGTTGCTGATTATGGTGATGCGGCTGATGATGATAATGATGGTGCTGTGGATGATGATGATGATGGTGATGCTGATGAGGATGGTGATGATGATGTGGATGATGATGATGAATATGGTGCTGATGATGGTGATGATGGTGATGATGATGATGATGCTGCTGATGATGATGATGATGATGATGATGATAATCAGGATTATGATGCTGCTGATGATGATGGTGACGATGATGATGAGGATGATGATGCTGATGATGATGGTGATGATGATTCGGACGACTTTGAAGAGGAGGAGGAGGAAGAGGAGGAAGAGGCGGAGGCGGAGGCTGAGGAGGAGGCGGAGGCGGAGGCTGAGGAGGAGGCGGAGGCGGAGGCGGAAAAGCAGGAGGAGGAGGAAGAGGAGGAGGAGGAGGAGGAGGAGGAGGAGGAGGAGGAGGAAAGAGGAGGAGGAGGAGGAGGAGGAGGAAAAGGAGGAGCAAGGAGGAGGAGGAAGGAGATGAGGAGGAGGGGGGAGAGAGAGGAGGAATGATGAGGAGGACGAGAGGAGAGGAGGGGGGATGAGAGGAGGGAGGAGGAGCGGGGTAGGAGGAGAGGAGGAGGAGGAGGAGGAGGAGGAGGAGGAGGAGGACGAGGAAGAAGAAGAAGAAACAGAAAAATAACAAGAAGAAGAAAACTAATAATAATAAGAAGAATAAGAAGAATAAGAAGAATAATAAGAAGAAGAAGAGCAAGAAAAAGAAACATAAGAAGAATAATAATAATAATAAGAAGAAGAATAATAATAAGAATAAGAAGAAGAATAATAAGAATAATAATAATAATAAGAAGAAACATAATAAGAATAATAGTAAGAAGACTAAGAAGAATAAGAAGAATAAGAAGCATAAGAATAATAAGAAGAAGAAAAAGAATAAGAATAATAAGAATAATAATGATAAGAAGAAGAACAAGACGAATACGAATAAGCAGAAGAATAAGAAGGCGAATAAGAAGAATAACAATAATAATACGAAGAAGAATACTAAT